GCTTCCTAGTTCCTTTTGACATTGTCTCTCCCTAAGCCATTGTAGTATCTGGGTTAGTCATGTAACTCCTAAAAGGCAGCATGAAGGGTTAAAGAAGGTCTCTATACACTAACAACCACAATCCCTCAGCACCAGTTCACCTCCTTCGTGGAGGTGAACTGGTGCTGAGCGCCTGTTTTACATCTGCAATAGCTGGTGAAGTGCTACTTTAGTATATTCGCCTGCACCAACTAGTAGACTGCATCCGCGTAGGAGTTCAAACGAGCCAAAGAGTTGGGAGTTTCCATCCCCATAGGTCACATGTTTAACATCGCGCAGTAGCATGCATCGGCGCTTACACATCATGGTTGAAATTGCTAGTTTCACCTTGCATGAACGCTCCCACACTACGCATCCGCTAACGGCAAGCAAAGCCATTTAACAGTCTCTGAGATAATTTCCTTCCTGCATTTCATGTGTTCCCCTCTTAATTCGTAGGCAAAAATACAATGTGCGACGCTAGCAACAACGCGGCACTTTATATTGATGCAGCTCTTATGTTCTTCCAAGTTTTCTGCAGCAGGCTGTGCACTGCATCTCTCATACATACATTTACGTACAAGCAACAACAGAGATGCAACAATCTATATGGATAGCTCTGAATTCATCCGTCGTGCAAGCAGCTGGGCGTGTGAGCATGTGTGTGTTGTGCTTTTCATTGGTTGTGCTTTTCAATGGTTAAAGCAGCTACGAGTAGCGGGGAAGTTATAATGCACTGCCTGCACTTCTTGCCGGATTTTTTGTTTCATTTTCGTGAAAATCACCTGCCACTTGTCGGCTGCAGAAATTGCAATCCACGTAAAGGGAAGAAGTCGTGGAACAACTAGGCGAAGCAGCAGCCTAAGGTTGCAGTAGCCTCTGCTACCAAGTCACCCGGCGCAACGCCCGAGAAAATAACCGCGGGCATCGCTCCTACTGCCTTGTCATAGGTTGCCCTTGTGGCTCGAAGAAGCACTGAACAGGGCACATGGCCGATGTTGGCATGCTGTGAGTGCGTGTGGACCGCCAACGAGCACGACCATCTAGTATATCGTGGGAAAAGTAGCCACGCAAAACTGTTATATAACGACGCCCAATACAGGGCAGCAAGAAATACTGCATTTTAAACTTGTTTACCTAGACTTACCGCCTCGTCCGGGCCACTGTTCTGCCCAGCGTTTGCCATTCGGTCAAGAGTACTAGCTATTCTACAGTGGGTTCAAGCAGTTTCGAGTGCTCTGGTGTTCATAAGCATTTCTACCTGTGCTGGTTATCTACAGCACTTATTTGCGCATGAGATACGCATGCTGCGTAGTTGAATGGAGGATATTTCTCCAACGTAGCACAATCGTGGGCGAGCTTGTGGTCTACTTCGAGTGAATGCTCTAGGAATTACGTTGTCGATACGTTTTTATTGCCAGTCAAGGCAAAAATGATGCAGAAGCAGCTGAGTCCTCCTTGGAATCGATAACTTCCCGCTTGCATGGGAGGGTGAAAAATAACTATAGGGTGGCCTATTACCAGGCAAACCTCGTTGCAAGCCAACCAACTAAAATGCCTCTTGTTAGTGGCCTATATAAATGAACACAGATATTAAAAAATGGAGCTGGTGAACAGAAAGCCGCTTTTCTCAGGCACCCTGTGGACGGTTGCCACTGCAACAGGTGCAAGCCGAAGATGTTTGGGATCCTCCGCCTTTAGGCTATTGTTTGCATTCTCATTGTTCTCTCATTTCCAAACTGTCACTGCTATTGGCATATCCACCCGACTGCATATATAGACTGTATATATATGCACATGTGTTGTGCAGTCGCCACAGCCTAATAGCGTACTTGAGCAGCGTATTTCTTGCTTTACTGTAGTTTCCACAGTACAAATGGCTCAGGTATTGTGCTAAAATGTTGCCAGATCGGAGTTTTGCCTTGAGAAAAGGCAGAGAGTGTGGGAACGCCAGGGTGCCACGCATTGAACTTCTGAAATAAATTACATTGCCGAGACCATCATTGCTTTGGGGAGAAATGACAGTCTAATTAGCCGCAAGTGCAGTGTCAGGGAAAGGAAAAAGGTTTACAGCGACCGAAATCTGGTACACGGAACGACGCCAATATCGATTGTTGTGAGCAACTAAGGGTAATACTACACATACTCACAGCGCAAGAAATGCAGCCCATCTCGACTGTTGTAAGCAACTAAGCCTAATACGCACGGTGTAGCCCCGATAGGAGATGATTTCGGCATTCTACGAAATTCCCTCAGCATATCCCATGGCATTGACTGGGTGAATGTACCTCGAAAATGTGCAATTTTCCCCTGAGATCGAAAGATGACGACAGCAGGAGATTGAAGAGTGAAGCTACCTAGGCAGGCGGTGGCCTACAAGGTCGGGAAAGTCCACAAAAATCTCCCATGTCTCTATAAATGAAGGTGTAACGGGAAGAAGGAGCTCTAAAATTAACTGTTTCCATCTTCCGGGGCAGTTGGCAGCACTCAATTCGCGTTAGAGTACCGCACGTTCCATTTCATTTCCATGAGGAATTGGGCCAAGCCCAGTGCACGTTCTGTATACATGTCTGCATCCGCCATATACAATTTTCCACCAGTGAACAACTCGTAAAGGAGCATTCCTAAGGAACAAATGCCACTGTTCCTCTGGGGGGGAGCGTCCCCTGGAGAGACGTCTTCTTGAATTCGCAACATCGGCTCTTTCGTCTTCCCAGAAAGCCTCATGCTTAGTTGAACGGCCTTTCCGAACGGAACGAAAGTACAGAAATCACTAAGAAAAAAAGAGCCGGCTAGACGGCGGTCGATTTCATCCCGATTGTGGTCGTTGTGTTTGAGTGGCGCCTGCTGCAGGCCTAGCACTGTGCGAAGCAAACTATGAGCGATGCATTCTTTTGCACGCACTGAAATGCAAATTGGAATGAGAGGGCTAAATCTGAATTTTCCGTGAAACCTATCCATGATCATGACGAGATGGAAGAATTAGAAACCATCCTGAAAAGTGGAAGGGACAGGTATAAGATAGAGAACACAGGCAATTAACAAGGAAACTGCTGGGCGCATGAGACTGCATGTTTGCATTGGGGCTAGTGCGAAACCGGGGTCGTATTGCCGGTCAGACGTGGCAAAGGGTCAGCACTCACCATGCCCTATAGACCATAAGATAGCTGCGTTCAGGCACTAGAACATCATAGATCTTGAACACAATTAACCTGTGATCAATAGAGCGTGCCTTCCCAACCGCTTCGCATGTTGTACAGTTNACAACACAAATCCCCAGATTCTGAACGCAAATATACTATGACTAGGTGGAGACATTGACTGCACCAGCATTTCCTGAATCACAAATAGCACAAGCCGCTTGCACCTCTTCGCGCAAACAGCAATGCTGAGCTCCGAAGCTGTCAACGTTGTTGGCTTGAAAGCGTGCAATGACGAGCGGCATGAAGAACACGTCGCCGCGCATCCATAGCGCCATTTCCAACGAATCCAAGGAAGCATTTTTGTATCGCATTCAAAGGGAAGGGGCGCACGATGAAGATGCGGGATGGCATTGCTTTCCGCTAGCTGCAGAAAATGCTGGAATTCGAAGTCAGGAACTGGCCTTGTCTACTTTGGCCGTAAGTTTCTGCTTGGAAGCGAATCCTTTATTTTGGGCCTGGTTTACAAGTAGCGCTGGCCTCGGCACAGTGGCCTTCGGAGGTGGCCTAAGGGACGTCAGTGCACGCGGACCGCAGAGAGATGCGCCATACTGGTGAGGCCCGTCTGTTCGCTCCTGACGCTACACGCATGTTGTGGCTTGTGGGCGTCCTTCCCGCCAGCCTGCTTACAGGCATGGACATCCCAAGTGAAACGAGAGGGAGGGGATTTATTAACTC